CGTATCAAATTGAAAGAAATGAAAAAGTGAATTAAATGAATGAATAAATTGTACTGTATTTAATAACCTATTAAACATATTGACAAGCAGTAATGCAATAAGAAGTTTCTTGACATACGTAGAAACTTTTTAAAACATATGCTTCCTTACATTTCGACAGCAATTTTTCTTTCTTTTTTTTTTGCAAATTGTGATAGGATTTTATGATAGATTTTGTTAGCAAATTTTATCGATCTATGTATATTTTTACTTCCTTTTTCTTTCGCCCCAAATAATTTATTTCAAATTAATTTAAATATTTTTTTCATTTAAAAATTTAAATTAATTTAGAATTTTGAGCACGAGTGTCACCTTTTAAATCAACACGAACTTTCGAGATCACAAAAACACGAATTACAGCGTTTCATCGATCAAAACTCCCATCTCTTACGTTCACCAAGTTCACAAGGTATATGCTTGGTTTTACATTTTAAATTTTCAATTTTCAAAATAAATTTAATATTTCATTGTTTTTTCCATTTTTCATTTTTTTTTTCATTTTCCATTGTATAACAGCCAGTTGATTTTGAAAAATCAATTTAAACTAATCTAATAAATTTAAACTAATTTAACTTTTTCATATTATAATCATAAGTTTTTTTAAATCAATAATTACTTTATTTCAATGCTTACGTTATCTGTGACAAACAAAAATAATAGTAGTATTCAATGAAATTGATCTAATTAATATTAACGTAAATTTTTAAAAGCCTAAAATTTAAATGTTATAAATTAATAGTTGATAATTGGATAAATATTAAAATTGATTTAGGATTAAATTTTGTAATGATGAGTTAGAATGACTGAAGTAAAAATTTTTCGAAATTTTTTCTTTTTTTTTTTTGCAACAGGAACAGGTGACTCATCGACTTGGGCGAAAGATAAAGGAGGAGATCGATCCAACTCGTCGTATCAGGGGAACTACGGAACGTTATCCATATCTCCTAACAGAGGGTAAGCCTGATGTGTAAATTTTGTTTACCGCTTAGGCACCAAACTTCTCATTTCTTCAAATTCAATCCCATATGGGATATCGATCTTTGATGTTCATTAACATTTTATTTGGATGAATTAAGGTATAAAAGATTTTAATGTAAATTCTATTAATTTCAGTAGAAATTTCGTTAATTTCAATACAAACTTTATTGATTTTAATAGTAATTTCGTTATTTCCAGAAGAAAATTTCATTGTATTTCATTGCAGCTTCCTAATTTTTTTCTTTTTCTTCTAAGATTTACATTTATTTGCAAATCTTTTTTTTTTTCCTTTTTTCCTAATCAATTAATATTTTTTGAAGCAAAACTATCGACATTTCTTAAAAATTTCAATGAACAGGTTAAAAAGAATAGTTTATAGATTGTTTTGAAGAAAGGGAATACTTGATCATATATGATATGAAGCGATCAGTATTGTCAGATAATCACGAACATTTTATATGATCTAAATTTTCTTGAAGTTATCAGTTATCACTAATTGTGTATATATTTTTAGAAGAATAAATGTACCTTTTTGTTTTCAATTTTTTCCTTTTTTTTGAAGTAGAAAGGAAGTAAAGTGGTCAGACGACGTTTATCAGTCAGCAGAAACAATCCGTCGGACATCTTCGTTATCACCAAACTGGTCTGTACCGAGCAATCACCTAAAAAACTCGAGCAGTTTCGACGATTTTTATAATTTGTATGATAAATACAATAACAGTAGTAACGGTAACACTAAAGCAATGTCATATTATGGAAATACTGGATCTATGAATCGAGGTCGTGATAATCAATTCCCGGCACACAGTCCGGGTAGCAATTATCAATCATATGGAAAGCATCCGGTATATTTATTATACTTTCTGAAATTTGAACATTTTTGCTTATTCATCGATTTTTGTTCTGTTTTGCCATGAAATATTTGCTAATTTTAAATTTATCAATAATAAAAATTAATTGAAATTAAAGAAATTGCAATTGATCAAGATTTTAGTATTAAAGTTAAAATTTTTGCAGGATAATTACAATCGATATGAAACAGCACGTTCTCGAAGTCATGCAACACAACGACAACGAGAAGAAGATGAAAGGAGTCGATTTTCGGGATATGGTGATCGACCAGGCTCTGGGGTAGAATTCATGCCTACGAAATGGCATGGTGGGGAGGTAAATTTTTCACAAGATTATGATTTTAAATCACAATGTTAAAAGTTTTTATTTCTAATCTTATCCATTTTGTGACTAATAGAGTAAACTTATTTTAATGATTTTATTTCCTTTTTTTTTTTTAAGATTATTACCGATCCGGGACATTTGCCTCGTTCATTGAAACCGCGTCGTTTGTATTATTCACCAATTGGTGATGGTGTTGTTGCTGCGGATGGTGTTGAATTGAAACGTGTTCCAAAAGATTTATCACCAAAAATTACGGTGACACATAGCAGAACGTTGGACAGAGGTGAACCTGGCCATGATGGTTACAACATCTATACCCGAACAACAACAACTCATGGTATCTATTATTTTTCTTATAATATCAAAAATTTAAATAGCAAATTATTATATTCGTTAAGTGTATATGATAGCACGTTTCATTAATTCGTAAATTTCATTAATTTCATTATCATCCGTGTAATTAGCGTTTTTCTTAACTATTCATAATTATGCATACTAACTCCGACATATATTTTTTCCTTTTCCCTACTAACTTTAATTAATAATTATGAAGTTACGAAAAAAAAGTGATAACTAGGATAAGAATGAATAAGAGTGATAAAATAGTTGTGGGAAATCTTTAAATCATTTAATATTCGACTAATCACAAATTTCCGTGCATAAATTTGATTAGCTGTATTGATGTTCGTTTTTCTTTTTTTTTTTCTTTAACTGTTTTATCATTCTTATCTTAGTTATCATTGGCCTTTCAGAAACATTTGTTCATTGATTTTAATTTATATTTAATTCAAATATTAAGTTTAGATTTAGGAAATGATTACGGAAGTGATATGGGTGGAAGTGGACGTGATTCACGATTGACAGGCGGCATATCACCAGGTTTTAATTTTCCTCCTAAAATTTGACTTTAAAGTTTATATTTGATGAAAATTTTCAAATGGGCATTATAATTTGATATTAATGCATCTTTTTTTTTTACCGTCATTTATTAAATCATTATTTATAGGAAATTTTGAAGTAGATCAAATTGTGAAATATTTTTGTGGAATTAAAATTAGATAAAAGCAGAAGTGAAATGTAAAGTGTAAATTATAGGTAGCGATTCATTTGGACAGCAGAGTGGTACTGGTTCTGGTCCCGGTATGAGTTATGGTGGTCGAGATTCAGATCATAAAGGTGGAGGAATGGGAGAGCGAAGACCAGGAAGTGGTGGCGGTTATGGCGCTGGTAGTGGTAGTACACCGTTCGGTCATGGAAAAGATTATTCAAGTGATGTTGGATCTGGTGATATCGGTTATCCAGGTGGTCGAGGTAGTTACACCAGTAATTTTGAAATTTTTATCTAAATTTTGAAATCTACCCCATTTTTTTCAGCAATACTACAATTTTTTCAACAATATGTATGTCGTGTTTCAAGAATTTTTTTTTTTTTGCACACTGTAGAAATGGCACATTTTTTGTTGATTAGTGAAATTAGTATAGAGAGTACCAAAAAGATGTGGTACTGCAAAAAGTTCTGATATCGAATCACCCAAATCAGGTATAGATAAAGATCTTCATGGTACTGGATCACCAAATTATGGCTACCGTTCACCAACTGCAACTTATCAATACTCATCAATTTATCATGATCCACATAATACACGTGGTTTCACACAGTCTGATCCATTTGTGAGTGAATCTAGAGGTTTGCATTTATAGAAATTTTTTTTAGCATGAAAAATGTCGAGCAAAAACAGCTGAATATTTTATGAGTTTAACCTGTCCTAAAAAAAAAAAAAAACCTGTTTTAAAATTCATTTCTTTTATTTTTATTGAATTCTAAAATTCGAACAAAAATTCAATGAACATTAATTGCTCTTATCACTTTTCCGCTTAATTTTAATCTAATTGATAAAGTGATACTTTTTAATTCAAAAGAGCAATAGATAGAATTAAAATTTATTTGAAAATGTAATAACATTTATGCTAATTTTTATATCAAAATGTTTTCATTTTGCTATAGAATAGATCTGATTGAATAAAAATTTGCATGTATCACAATTCTAACATATCGGATTGGGAGAATTTCTGAATCAATCCTTAGAAGTATAATTATTTAGAAGTAATTTTTTTTTTGCAATTTGTCAAACGCATTTTAGAGTTATAGCTTTCGTGCATTTTGTTCCTTGACCTTTTTCTTTTTTGCTTTTTTTTTTTGAATTCATTTTTATCCTCAATGAATTTTATACGAGTGGATTGGGATTTCCGTTTGTCTTTTTTTTTTTTTTTGTCGAATATTTAGTTAGTTAAAGGTCGTTCCCAGAGTGTTGACTTACTAAACGGACCCGACAATTATTGTGGTGATTACGAATTTAAAAACGATGGTCATTCAAGTGGTATGTTAATCCGGACAAAACATTGTTTTTTTTTTTTTGTTTGCTTATTTGTTTTAATATGGGTAAGCGATAGGTTATAAAATTTTACAATATATTTTCTTTATAATATTCCTGATATTTTTTAAATAAATGTAATTTTATCATAGATAATATAAAATATAAATTTGCAGATGGATCCATACTGCATGAGTCAACCAAATCAGAACGGTATCGAAAGTTTGATGTGACCAAAGATTATTTGATAACGAATCCACGTGAACTAATACACCAATATGCAACCACAACTCCAGTTTCTATACTCGAAATACCTGAAACATCATCACGTACAGTAAAGAAAATGTATTCATCAACAACCGAAGAAAAGTATAATTTCAGAAATTTGTAAAAAAGATGATCTTAATATTAAGCGACTTTTGTGAACTTCTACATTCTACAAATAATAATCTAGAACGTATATCTATGAAATTTATATAATTAATCAAGAAGATAGTATCAGATATTGAATAAACAATGCCTGAAATAATTATCAATATTTTAAACAACGCTAATTTAAGTGTGATAGTTTTTGACACTTCTCATTCTAAATTTCTTTCAAAAGATTCTACTTCTTTGATTGAAATGATCAGATCTCAGTAATTCTAATAATATTTAATTGCAAATAAGATCGAGTACAAAAAGCTGCAATCTCTAAATTTTTAATTTAAAATGAAAGAAAATAACGTAATTTATAGGTATGTACCATATCCGCCTTATAAAGGTTCCAGCGCTGCTGTTCATCCGAACAATTTTGCCCGTCAAATAAGAGATGAAGGTAAATTTTTAAATTTTTAAAACACAAAACATATAATTTGTTAAGCTTCTCTTTATCACGTTTAACTTATTTTATGAATTTAATATATGATAGAAAAGCTAGCATCTTTTAGCACAAAAAATGAAATGCAAATAATTAATCTTAAATCAATAATAAAAAAAAATCTGAATTGAATACACGTGTAAATTAAATGGTGCAATCAACAATTACAATTCAGTGTATTTCATAAATTTTAAAATTATCAATTTTTATCAAAATAAAAAATTTCTATTTTATAGGATTAACCGTATCACAACGTGAAGCAAACAGGCATCAAAATCCTCTAATTACCGATGATCCAGAAATTACACATAAAATTTCAGAAATACGCAAAGAAGCAAGTCGAACAGCAACAACAAATAAAGAGATTGATCATCTGACTGAAAAAATGATGTATAACTTACAAAGCGGGCAACCAACACCATTGCATTATTAAATTATTCATAAAATTATAAATGGGCTTAACCTTTTTGGCCTTTATGCTATTCATCAATGTGATGAACATATAATATCGCAAACGATTCATCTTAAGATAACTTTTTTTTTTTTTTGGAATATTTTAAGATTTATTTTGATAATGAAATAAGTAGAAATAATAATGATGTTGTTGAAAAGAACGACGTGTTATTAATAATTTGACAACTAAAAATATGTACATAATTTTTTTTTTCAAAATTTCGATAATTTCCTATTTTCTATTTCAAATCGATGCATAATTATTTTGGACCTGTCATTTTTTAATCTTTTTTTTCTCCTTTGATTTTTACTAAAAAACAAAACATGTCGTTAATATGCAATATTATTTTCAAATGAAATTTCAAAGTTTGAGTAATTTTAAAAATTTATGTAACTTTTTGAATAATCCATATCTTCATATAATTTTTTTTTCCTTTCTCTCAATGTAATACCATTTTTTTTTTTAAATGATATATTCGTCAATAATTTCATTGGCTTTTTTTTTTCATCCTACTGTGCTTTTTTTTTCATCCTACTGTCAAAAAAATGAATGAAATTAATGCTTTTTTTTTTCAATTCTTTTCAAAAAAAAAAATCGAGATCGAATTTGAATCACACTTTCTCATACAATAATCGGTTAATTTATAAGTCACTTCAATCTTTGAAAAATTATTTTATTTTGAAAATATTGTAAGATTAAATATTGCAGTGTGCAAATGAAAATTTGGTTGGTTGCATTGCTTTGCACTTTCAATTAATTAATTATTTAGCAATGAATAATTCCAAAAGTTTCAGGCTAAAATGCATGGATAAAATGCAAGATGGATATTTTTTATCCTCTTTTTTCCCTAACATCAATATGGCAAACATGGTGAAAATTTTTGAATAGCAATCTGATCTAATTTATGTTTATTGTAAATTTATGACTTAAAAAATCAAATGGTAAAAGAAAAAATACAGAGCAAAACTGAACAAATGCTTTTATTTACTTTCATTAAAAGGTAATCATTCGCTATAACAAGTTTCAGTCAACATCGAGTAATATGATCGTTTGATTGAATTTGCTTCTTCAATTTTGAAACGAAATTTAAACAAAAGGAAAAAAAAACACAAACAGCAACAAATCAAATCAGCCATATCCTAAATGCTAAATCATTCTTCCATTTAAACATGATATAATAATTTATCCCAGAATTAGAGAGAAATTGGAATTAGCTGTTAAATTAAAAATTTAGCCAACAAAAGAAAAGAAAAAAAAAAACTTACTTAATGATTGGTTTTAATAATTTCTTTTTTATAGCAATATAATCAGTTGGTGATTAAAGCGAATGCAATTGTTCAAGAGAATTACAGTTGAAAAATTGAATCTTTTAAAATTTGTCGAAGAAGTCGGCAGTTTTCTTGGAGTTTGAAAGGCCAGTAGGAATAGAATTGTTTACCCACGTGCCTAACAAACCCAGGAAAGCATTCTCGGACTTTTGATATTAATTGAAGAAAGTAGGAATTATTGCTTTTATTCATTTCCAAATTGAAATATCGCAATTAATAATTACATTTTACAATACTGTTTTAGAAATGAAGCAAATAATAAAAATCTTATTACTACAAATAATGCTAATTTTCTCCATTTCAAGAATATATGAATTATCAGAATTTCAATTCCTAAAAATACTACACATTTGAGAACATATTTGAAATGTTTTGGAATGGAAAAAAAAAATTAACATTATTTGTAATAATAAGAATAAGATTAATTCTAGATTAGATAGATTGCTAATCTAGAATATTTTCAACAAACCCAACATAATCGTATCAAATGTAACACTATCGTACCTTATCGTGTCCTATCAGATCATATCATATCATATCACATCACATCACATTATGTCATATTATAGCGTATTATTTTTTTAATGATAAAAACAATATTAAATAAGTTGAAAGTGAAAAAAAAAACATCATCATTTTGTTGAAAAAGCTAAGATGTAGAATAAAATGGTAATGATAGAAAAATGCTTTTTGCCATTGATGCATAACAGAGAATGAAAAGATAGTTTTTTTTCTTTTCTTTTTTTTTCTTTTTTTCTTTTTAGAAAACAAAGTTGCTTTATAGCAAAATTACATTTGTATCATTTTCAAAGTGAGAAAGAAAAGGAAGTATTTTTGAATCTAAATTGTATTGTTGCTTGTCCTCGTCTTATAGATTTGGCATAAGAAACTTTCCTTCTTCTTCTTCTTCTTTTCTTTTCTTTTCCCCTTTCTTTTTTCTCCTCTTTAT